GGTTTGTAACCCCAGCACACGTGTTCCCCTGTGAATTGCATTCGCAAATCCAGAAACTGTAAAAACTGCCCATCCTGGCGCTCAAGGGTGAACTTCAGGCCTCTAGAACTTTCTTTAAACACGCTCATCACATCTTCAACAACTTCACATACAGTAAGGTTTTCACAGTTTTGCAAAATAACTAAATAATCGTCTACGTATCTAAACAACTTGGTCACAGGTTTGCCTTTCAAGGCATTCTCAATGGCTCGGTCACATTTGGCCAAAAAAATATCACAGAGCACTGGGGCAGCACAGGAACCAATGCAGATACCAGCCCTCTGCACGTAATGGCGGCCCTCAAAAAGAATAAAAGTTGACTCCAAGTAAAATTTTAAAAGTTCCAAAAAACCCTTTTAAACTTTTAAAATTTACTTGGAGTCAACTTTTATTCTTTTTGAGGGCCGCCATTACGTGCAGAGGGCTGGTATCTGCATTGGTTCCTGTGCTGCCCCAGTGCTCTGTGATATTTTTTTGGCCAAATGTGACCGAGCCATTGAGGATGCCTTGAAAGGCAAACCTGTGACCAAGTTGTTTAGATAAGTAGACGATTATTTAGTTATTTTGCAAAACTGTGAAAACCTTACTGTATGTGAAGTTGTTGAAGATGTGATGAGCGTGTTTAAAGAAAGTTCTAGAGGCCTGAAGTTCACCCTTGAGCGCCAGGATGGGCAGTTTTTACAGTTTCTGGATTTGCGAATGCAATAGGGGCTTCCCAAAAGTAAGCGCCTCTGGTGCCAAACGCGCGAACTACACAAAATCCGCCATTACTACGGCGTCGGTTTTTCGTACCGTTCGGCTAGTGCTTAATCGGTGCGATGCCGACTCACTGCTGCGTCCCCCTATGCAGCCAAAGAGGACCGAAAGATGAACAAGGAAACAAGGTAAGTCACTGTTGTGAAGTTGCATGCCAACAATACTGTGAATAATATAAATTGGGTGAGGCAGATCCGCGCGGAAGAGGCAGCCTTCATCCGTGCGCACGGGGGGACGAGCTTCACTAGGACTAGGACGCTAATGGCCCAACAAATCAAGATCAATCTTCCTACGTTGCACGTTTAGTTGCGCTGCTCGATCTCGTCTGTGTCAACGCTTTCGAAAGAATTTTACGCGTGTGCGGCGCTTCGTAGTCGCAAGTATTCATAACGAAAAGATAATCGTGACAGGATAACTCGCGTGCACGGAACATTGTATTGAAATATGTTTGAACTGCACGTCTGATCTTGCGTAAGGCAAACATAACTGTGCGTATTCGAAAAACTTCGGCGAGCACCCAGAGTTGATTTGTGACAACGTTTTGTGGTGCGAAGTTCGATCGAAGGCATGAACATGAGCGTTGTTTTCACAAAATACGTTGTCCGCACAAGCACTCACGCTAGGACTGCTCGCGCCCGTGCTTGTTACGCCACACCCCTGAATTTATTGTTGGTATGCTTCACGGTGCGTAAGCATGCTTCAGGATCCTCACCTAAAGGTAGAAACTAAAATAATCTGTTCTATCCGGGGCAACATTCTTTGGTAAGGTGCACATTGATAGTTTTCAACACTGCTTGAAGACTAGAAGAGACTCCTAGCATAGAGCCCCCTCGGTCACAACTATATGACACTGCATGCCACAGTTACACACAAGTCATGTGTGTGTGCCATTATATAACACTAAAGTAATTCAAACATACGCACAGGCAGGATGGGAAACATGACTTTATTAAGCACTTTCAGCAGCTTGCTTTTTGTGACAAGTAGAACAGTGATACAAGCTAATGTCTCACATTATTTCACTCGCAGGTTGCCTACTTCGGTTTTCCAAAGGATAAGGAGCAGTTCAAAAGGTGGATTATTGCAATAAGGAGAGATGAGGGAAAGCATTTTAAGGTGACCCAGTCGACAAAAGTGTGTTCTAAACACTTCAGGGACGGAGACTTCTTTCCAGGCTACGTGAATGGCAGGAAATTTTTAAAGGAAGGGATTGTGCCCAGCACATTCAGATTCTCAGCTCAGAAAGTGCCAAGAAGAAAACTTCAGAGGCACAACGCTCAACCAGTGAACAACCGCAGCCCCGTCGACATGAGAGCTGCTCTCGCACATGACGAGAACGACATCACAACAGCTTCTGGAAGCGAGCCCCCACCAGATCCAGAGATATCCGTGCTGGTAGCCACACTTCAAAGGCAAGTTGCCAAACAAGCTGCACATGTGAGCAAGCTTGCGTCTGATCTTCAGGAGGTTCAAAAAGAGCTTGCCGAAGCCAAAAATGAAGTCGTAAAGTTGACAAGGCACATTGAACTTCTAGAAGAATCAAACAAGAAAATGGAAGAGAAACTGAGCCGGAAGTTTTCTATAGAATGTTTTAAGGACAGCCCTAAGGATGTGCAGTTCTATACAGGACTGCCAAACTACGATGCCTACCTTGACCTACTACGGTATGTGAATCCTGGAATCAATGGGGAAAACATCAAAATGTGGTCAACCTCCTACTCTCTGGGTAGTAAACTAGGGCGGCCACGAAGCTTGCACCCTCACGACGAACTGTTCCTAATATTGGTTCGCCTTCGGCTAGGCCTCCTCGAGAAGGACTTGGCGTTCAGATTTGGGATTTCGACCTCTACAGTGTCACGACTCTGCATCACATGGATTAGCTATCTCTATCAGCACCTGTCACGACTTCCCCTGTGGGCGACACGGCAGCAAGTGGACGAGGATATGCCACCTGCTTTTACAGAGCAGTACCGAACAACAAGGGTGATCCTCGATGCAACAGAGATCAAGTGTCAAGTTCCGACCAGCCTCGTTCTTCAGTCTGCAAGTTTTTCGACATACAAGTCGTCAAACACCTTTAAGGGACTTGTCGGGATATCCCCAGATGGAACTGTGACATTCGTGTCGCAGCTTTTTCTGGGGTCAATGTCAGACAAAGAATGCGTACGGCAGAGCGGATTCCTGGCACTCCCCTTCGATGAGAATGACTCGGTAATGGCTGATAAGGGATTTCTGATTTCTGAGCTCCTGGGGGACATCAATGTAAGGCTCAATATCCCCCCGTTCCTTGGCCAGGGGACATTCACAGAGAGCCAAGTTAAGGAAACTGAGAAGATTGCATCACTGCGTATACACGTTGAAAGGAGAATACAGCGAATCAAGAGCTTCCATATTTTTGATCGAGCCATCCCTCTCTCACTCGGCCCAGTAGCAAGTGAGATATGGACCATCTGTACAATTCTGACGAACCTTCAGAGCCCCCTGTTACGCCAGCATGAAGATGGAAGCAGGGACGCAGATTAGCTGCGTGTCTTTTGCGTTACTTGTGCATATGTGTTTAAGGACATTGGCAGTTATGCCAGATAATAAAGCTTTCCTTCAACTTGTTTGTGCGTGTTTTACATACAACTTCTATCAACTCTGGAACACAGCACAGCAGAGTGTGTGTGAATACAAGAATGTAGCTTTTCACATTTTAGTCATTAAGCCTAGTGTCGAGCATATGTTACCGCCTAGGTTAGAGCGCTGTATATGTGCATTTCACTACACTGGTATTTAGACCAAGATTTTAAATCTGAAAGACAAGGAGAACAGGTAATCAATTTTTTCATGCTCAGTAAGCTTAGCCATACTTGTTACCCTCATATCAGATCGTAATTTTGAATGTGGACATAGCTCAGAACACCCTGGTGCAATGTTCTATAGACAGGCACAGGCTAAGCATGTGCCAGAGCCTCTGCCTCCAGTGCGAGCGTTCTACCTTGGCACTGTGTTGCGTCAACTTCAAGCGTGCAGCTGAAACACTACGAGGGGTAACGAGCACACGTGTTAAGCTTCTGGTTCATTCTTAACCTGTTCCCAAGGCTGTTTTCAATCAAAGGTGTTGAGGCAAGAAAAAGCAGACTGCATGTGGTGCTGCTGTCGACTACTGGAGCTTTGCACAAAGAAGTGTCTCTGTTAAGAATGCGCAAAGCAAGTCCTTTTAATGATAGCGTTCGAGCTTTATTCGAATCTCGGCCGCTGGGCACCCCAGTCTTCCCACGCTTCCCTTGAGCAGTCTCAACCGAGATGCTGCTTCGAGCAAGCCGGCCCTGAAGGATAAAGCGGCTGCAGTTGGTGGCCTGCTGTGTACCACATCGGCCCCTTAAACAAAACAAACTGCAAGCGTCAAGCCCCCATCCTTATCCGTTTTGAGAACCTCGCAGAAGGAAAATTGTATTTATGACCTAGAACCCCTTTTAGAACACTAACCCTGGTAACTGACAATTTTATTTGTTTCATTTGCTATAAAGTTGATACTCCTTTTCCAAACAAGGGCAGTTTGTTAGTGACATAGACACAAGTGCTGAACTCTCAGCTAAACATTTATTGGAAACACGCCACTGCACTATAGTCGCAGAAAAGGATAAGGGTAAGGATAAGAGCAAATGCCACACGAAACATAAGAATAAGTGATTGTGCAGTTGCCATGGTTCACGTGGTTTCACTGACCTCTGGAGTGGTTTACATCGGGCAAACAAGTTTGAGTGAAAATGAAAGGATGCACAAGAACGACTGATCGCTTCGATCCATGACAGGGGCGTATAGTTCACAAATGTCATCCCGTTTTCGAAAACATCACAGTCATTGAAAGCAGAACAGACGCAACAGTCAAAATTGTTAAAAGTCGACGCAAAAAAGGCGTGCGTAGATAACTCTGTTGACCATACTTATGCTCATTTACATAGAAAAGACATTGCATTCTTGCACATATGTTGCATTCAACATGATTCCCCACTTGCCCCCTTGTTCCGTCTACTTCATTTCACTAGACTTCATCTTTCTTGCGTGATGTGTACATTTATCTTTTGATAACAAAAAAGAAGCCCTCTCATAAATCTTGTTGACATCTGCAAGTGTTCAGTAACAATTAAGTTCCACATCATACAAGCTTCACAACCAGATTGCTTCACACGTCCTAAAGATGGCCTTAATTTGAGTTTCTACTTTTTTTGTGAATTTTGACTGCAATATTATAAGACAGCCATTTGAACATATATATTAATTGACACTAAAATACAAGAGTACACAAATGAATGCAGCATGAAATGTCATATTAGTTGGACAATGTTCAATGAAAACATTCAGGCCACAAGTCGCATAAGTAAACAATTATGTGCGACTTTCGGACAGGTATGGCAGCAAAACAGAGAAGTAAAACTTGTCTAGTGTAGTTTTACATTCTAGCCACTTCTCTTGAGAAAAATAAATTCTCTCAACAATCAAAAACTTGTGGGAATAAACAACGAAATCCCCCCACAGCAGGCCAGAAAGCGCCATCTGACCCAGAATCTGGTAGTAATACCTATGTTCCCGGTTCAAGCGGTACACCCCTGAAGTATCCTTCACCATGTAAAAGTCTACCGCAGTCTCGAGGCCTCCATCCTTCAATGTATAAGGACATTTCACCTCGACAACCCCATGAGCAGTTGCTTCGGTCGGGTCCCATGTCGTCCTGTCAGGAGACGCTCCGAGCCAGGGGCAGTCAGGTTGAACAACAATGCCGCAGTGCGATGTCTGGATATCATGTCCCAAGACCCGCAAGGCACTCTCGTAACGTTGCACAGCCGCTGGCTCGTACTTGATACCGTGTCTATTGGGAAAAAAGATTAATGCGTAGGTGTCACAAACCACTGGTCTGGTAAAGGCGAGCGGGTTGAACATGAATACGTAAAATTGAAAGAATAAAACACGGAGGACAAGCACGGGACAACCACGAAAGAATGTGGTTGTCTCGTGCTTGTCCTACGTGTTTTATTCTTTCAATTTTATGTACGTGTCACAAACCAGCTGCCACAAAAGTATCAAAATAGGACTCCGCTATATATGAACACCTAACAGATCCTCATGCATTCCGAGCGACTTTAGTCACGCCAACTAACCAGTCACAGTCATCGCACGCATGGATCAGACATCTACATTGCAGGCCTGGATCATAGTCACAAAGTGGGCATTTCATTCTGGAGCTCTGACACATTGTGTGTGTCCGTCACCCCAAAGTATATGAAATTACTAGAATCGGTAACTTGCATCTGTTGACTGTGCACCGACTGTCGTCCTCTTTGTGCAAGTGTTGGTAACCAGACACTTTCTACTGTTTAGCTCTTGTACAAGTTTCTTTTTCTCACCATTCTCCTCTGTAATGCCTCTGTTCCCTACAGTACAGCAAATCAAATCAATAAATTGACGAAGGTAGCGCCAACAAAAGAAACTGAAACCAGAACCTTGCACTGTCGATACCCAGCATACACGTCGGCAGCTAGGGACAGCATAATATTGACATTATCGGGTGGAACACTGCTTGTTCTCTAGCTGGGAATATACAAATTACCTGACCGCACGGACGTGCGAGATGTCCTTGGTTGATGTCAGGTTGTTGAGGCCTTTTAAAGACCAGCTCTCGCGTGTTGCAACTTCCCCGAAGGATGACGCTGTCAGCCTGTTCCGTCGGGCTGCCCTCCATAGCGGACTCTTCGACTGCTGCCGTGTGTTTTTCTCCAAAACTGTGGCTTGAGTCGAAGTCACCAGCAGAGACTGCAAAAATAGCAGCCTTCGTAAGTTGTGAGAAGCAGTGAAGCCTTACAGGTGACATGAATCAATATTAGGAGTCATTTTTACATACTCTACACAAGCATACTGGCATAAGTGTGAAACGGGCATACTTGCAGCCAATACCACAGGGCCCGATACTTGTATGTAGCAGTGATTTTTACAGATAGAAGTGGATTATTTCTTCAGTCTCTCCTCGACTAAGCTTGCTGAGATCACCAAGACAATCTAAGTATTGTGCTGTAACTGAACTGCGCTTAACAATAATGGTACCTTGAGAAGCAGGTCCTGTTGCAAGGGAAAGTTGTGCCCGGAGGTATCCCAGGCCACGCCGGACTCAAAGAATGCCGGGTCAGAAGGCAGTGCAGTGGTCCTCCTTTGTACGAGGCTCAGTTCCGGGCTGATATATGTCTCATATCCAAATGGAACGAGTGAGTGCTGGTACGATAGGGGACTACCAACAGGAGCCAGGCCAAACCTCGTTTCGACAGAGTCCGCAGTGGCTTCTCGAAGGCGCTTGGCAAAGGGCGTGACATCACTTGAACAACGATCCGCACCAAGTTTTCGAATGGACAGCATTGTCTCATTCTGGTCCAACGGTTTTCTTCGCGCATCGTAAAGTTTTGAAGAGATGGGTACGTCACTGCCATCTTCTCGAACACTTCTCCAGTCGACAGACTGTAGGCTTGTCGATGCAACTGCCTCTCCCCGTGGGCGGCGCCACTGCTGGGGCAGCTCAGTACAGGCAACAACAGGCGGAGCTTCAGCATAGTCCTTAGCTCGCAGTAGAGCCAGAAGTTTCAGAAGGGCTAGTGAGTGATTACACACACCACTAGTTCCAGCGGCGCATTCGCAGCTTGCATTGCACACAAGTCCACTGTAGAGGATGCCACAAGAAACTTGGTACGGCCTTGAATTCTTCTTCTGGCTTCTAAAGCAGCTTGCCTTTACACATACTTTGGCGGTGGAACTGAAATAAATTTGAAAGAATCAAAATTAGAAAATCAGCATTCTTGTTTTACATATTTTTGTTGCATAGAATGTGTTCCGAGGAGACAGTCAGCATTCGGGCTTCTGCATTTTCACTGCCTCTGGCACTCAGCTGTGTGGAAGTTATGCCACCTTTCACCCTGTAATGGCATTATGCTGAGTTGTAAACAAAGAATATGTGATTACTCATGCTTAGAAATGTGCAATGCTTAGGGTTCAATCTAAGACGTTCACTAACCAGCTCGCCAGCATACTCTCACTTCCGACAGTATACGGTCGTATGCCCTACGTGCTTTTATTGATTCGGGAACCTTCATGGCGTACACGTCGATAGTTCATACAATGTGCCTAGGCCTGCAGCGTAATACATGATTGGCCGTCGCCGCGAAATCTAACGTGCCGGCAATGAGGACAAGACGAATGAATTAGACAGCTTGCACTGTGACTGGTAGAACAGCTAATCCACAGTATGGTACTATCGGAAACAATATGAGCGTCAACGCGCCTCCGCGGCGACAAGCGGAGGCGCATTCACGCTCATATTGTTTCCGATAGTACATGGCGTGGAGTAGCGAAATCCACCGACACGACGGAACGAGCGACTCCCGTCTTGACTTGGCCCTTTAGCCCCGCCGAAGAACCACGTTACTGAGTTTCGCAACGTTACGTAAACCAAAAACAAACTCCGAAATAAAAAGTACAGCATTCCGTTCCCCCTGCTTCCATCTCAAGCGCAAGCGAAGTCGAAAGCGTAAGCGGGCAGCATGGTACCTTTAACGGCACTTGGACGGCACGACTGCGCACAAAGATCGCTTACGGCGTTTTGCTCGAACTCGTAGCTTTGGCTTCGCTCATACTTACGGCCAAACGGAGTATAGAGATAATATGATGCATGTCAAACTCCCAAGAAAAGAATAATGCTCACCTCGACACTCGAATCGACGACGGGTCTATGTAGGCTTCCGTCACGAACTTGTAGCTTCGTGCAGCCTGACGGCTCGACCTCAACCTGGACGTGCGGTACGATTCGACTTTATCTCCATCGAAGCTCTGGGGTATTTTCGATAGACTCGTGCTCCACGATGAAGCTCCTGGTTCTGTTGAACCGCTGTCAGCGGTTGGTCCACAGTCAGCTGCAGCCATCGCTTTCGTGGCGACGCCGTAGTAATGGCGTCGAGTAACTTTGCCAAGGTTGCTTGACTGACTTTCGGGAAGGGCCTATTCACAGGGGAACACGTGTGCTGGGGTTACAAACCGCGTACCCAGAAGGGAATCCTCCCCTATGATTCGGCGCATTCGAAGTTGGTGAAACGGAGCATTGCGTCGTCATGTCTAGAGACGGCAATTGGAAAGTCATGTCACCATGCCATGCACGACAGCCTCTGTAGTCAGGTCAAGAGACTTGGAACTGCAGGGTATCCTACTTCCCTTATGCTCGCAGTGGCTGAAAAACTTCTGAAGAAGTTCAGGGGCAAAAGCCAAAAGGACAAGCAAAAAAAGAGAGCAAGACCCCACGTGATGCCATACTTACACAGGGTGTCACACAATATTAAAAAAGTGGCGGAAAGGTTCGAGGTACCTCTGGTATTCTCAGCACCACGTAAACTGGCTCAACTATGTCCGAGGATAAGGGAAAAAAACAAAGATAAGCGGCAATGCACAGTGAAGCACGTAAACAAATACGTGGAATGTGCGGTGGGCGTGGTCTATAAAATTCCATTGGGCTGCGGCAAGGTTTATATAGGCCAAACCGGAAGGTGCTTGAATGAACGGTTGCGCGAACATGCTTTATCACTGCGTTCAACAACAGGAGCCCATTTACACATACATTGCAGAGATTGCCGCTGCATTCCCAACTTCCAAGGCACTACAATCGTTGGGAGAGGTAAAGAAAAGGTGGCGAGGGAGGTACTGGAGGCTCATATGATAAAGAAGGAATGTCCTGATAAGTGTATCAGCCAACCCTCACTTTTCCTTCGCAAAAAGGAAGTGGAATTTATTGACACGTGTGGTGGCCGAGTCATTGATGACTAGTCACATTTGTAGTATTTGTGGCTTTCCCTGGTTTTATTTTGCTGTTTCTATTTTTTCCAATAAAAAATTCAGTTGATAGTCAGCGCTCGTCCTGTTTGCCTCTCCGTCTTCGTATTTGTCTTTATTGTGCGCTTTCACTACTTTCAAAAAGGCTTGTGTCGTTTTGGTCCCGGGCCAGGGGCCCGTTTAGAAAAATGATTAAAGTCCGGGATAATTAAGTTAATTATTTTTTGCGTAATTATTTTTTAAATATTGTGTTTAAGGGCATGGTTTCAATTAGAAAATTGCTAAGCATCGTCGAAAAACAGTAAACCAACAAATTGCAGAACGATAGAAGGCCCGCGCATCATTTTGCGGCTTTCTGAAAAACCGCACAAATTCACCAGGTTTTTAAGTTTCGGTTTGCTATCGGAGCGCATCTCGGGCCTGTCGGCACCGCGCCCCATGGTGAGATAGTGCAACCAGCCTCTGCTGCGTCGCGCGATGACAGCGCAGCAGAGGCTGGTTGCACTGTCTCTCCGCCAGGGCCGAGATGCGCTCCGATAGTAAACCGAAACTTAAAAACCGGCGAATTTGTGCGGTTTTTCAGAAAGCCGTAAAATGATTCCAGAACGATAGAATTTCCAGATTCCAGAACGATAGAAGGCACTTCTATCGTTCTGGAATTTGTTGGTTTACTGTTTTCCGACGATGCTGAGCAATTTTCTAATTGAAACCATGCCCTTAAGCACAATATTAAAAAATTAATTACGCAAAAATAATAAACAACTTAATTATCCCGGACTTTAATAATTTTTCTAAACGGGCTCCTGGCCTGGGACCGAAACGACACAAGCCTTTTTTGTTGCGATGAGTAGTTTTTGCAGGAGCGATTTGGCCTGAGGTGCTGTTCTGTCCGTCCCTATGTTTATTCTTTCTGTTTTTAATTAATTATCCCGGACTTTAATAATTTTTCTACAAGGGCCTCTGGCCCGGGAACAAATCGACACAAGCCTTTTTTTGTTGCTATAAGCAGTTTTCGCAAAAGCGACTTGGCGTGAGTTCTCAGAAACACCGTATATATATATATATATATATATATATATATATATAAAGAGTGACGAATGTTGACAAATGCTTCCGTTGATATATGGGCAAAAGTGATGTGCGCAGACACAGCAGCCGTAGGATGAAAAGAATAAAATTCTAATTTAATGGCGAAAAAAGTCACGCAAGAAAAAAGGGTGAAGTGCCGAAAAAAAGTTGTATTAGTTTACGGGAATAATGAAGACTAGGCACAAGAGCGCTAATTACGCGGGAAAGAAACTTTTAAACAGGACGGAGTAAAAGTCAAAGTTAACACACAAGAACTTACAAAAAATGAATTGTTAAATGAAAAATAAAATAAAGAATTGAAAATAAAAAATGTATAAAAAATAAGAAAAGGGCCTGACGTCCGTCGAAGTTTCGGCAGTGGCACTGCCTTCTTCAGGACGGGAGCCCACATGGCGTGGTAGGTTAGTTTTATAAAATATCTAGGGAGAGGGTTAGTAAACGCGAAAGTTCGAAGGGGTTTGTAGGGTAGGGGAAACACGTGGGGGACGAGTCCAATTTTGTCGCGATGAGGGAGGCGGTTCTGGGTTTGTTTTTTCACAGGTGCGCTGGTGGTATGGAGGAGCTCGTAGGGAAGGGGAACACAGAGGGCAAAGTCCAATCTTGACGCGATGAGGCATGACAATTGTAGGTTCTGTTTGTCGGTGCATTGGTAGCAGAAGGAGCTTGCCGGGAGAGGAAGCGCCAGGGGGTATGAGTGGACTCATACCCCCTGGCGCTTCCTCTCCCGGCAAGCTCCTTCTGCTACCAATGCACCGACGTGGACTCATACCCCCTGGCGCTTCCTCTCCCGGCAAGCTCCTTCTGCTACCAATGCACCGACAAACAGAACCTACAATTGTCATGCCTCATCGCGTCAAGATTGGACTTTGCCCTCTGTGTTCCCCTTCCCTACGAGCTCCTCCATACCACCAGCGCACCTGTGAAAAAACAAACCCAGAACCGCCTCCCTCATCGCGACAAAATTGGACTCGTCTCCCACGTGTTTCCCCTACCCTACAAACCCCTTCGAACTTTCGCGTTTACTAACCCTCTCCCTAGATATTTTATAAAACTAACCTACCACGCCATGTGGGCTCCCGTCCTGAAGAAGGCAGTGCCACTGCCGAAACGTCGACGGACGTCAGGCCCTTTTCTTATTTTTTATACATTTTTTATTTTCAATTCTTTATTTTATTTTTCATTTAACAATTTATTTTTTGTAAGTTCTTGTGTGTTAACTTTGACTTTTACTCCGTCCTGTTTAAAAGTTTCTTTCCCGCGTAATTAGCGCTCTTGTGCCTAGTCTTCATTATTCCCGTAAACTAATACAACTTTTTTTCGGCACTTCACCCTTTTTTCTTGCGTGACTTTTTTCGCCATTAAATTAGAATTTTATTCTTTTCATCCTACGGCTGCTGTGTCTGCGCACATCACTTTTGCCTATATATATATATATATATATATATATATATATATATATATATATATATATATATATATATATATATATATATATATATATATATATATATATATACATATATATATTTTTAAATCCTGTTATATTTTTATTTTAGCTCTACGACCGAATCGTCCTTCTATGCTTTTACCGCAAACTCGTTGGCAGCGGAGGTAAAATAAAAGGACCGTGTCTCGCCGTGCATGCATATGACTATACAAACTGAAGGTAGTTAATTTATTTGTCGACGTGCAACTAAAGTCAATGGTCGCAAAACTAAGAGACACCGACGAAAAAAAAAAAAAAAGAAAGAAAAACCTTTTTGAGCTGAGGAGTCAATCTCGATGATACTCGAATCAAGAATTGCAGCTTACCGATGAAGGTGATCAAGCAATCCGATTAAAGAAAAAAAGAGATGAAATCGTCTTGGATCGCGACGTTTGCGCTCTAAACATGCCGAATCAGGCTTAGGCTAATCCAATTGTACGCTTCTTAACGGCGCGCTGGTGGATATCTCTGTCACGTTCGCGAACATAAATGTTCCATTTTTAATTGGTCGCCTCGTGTCTGCGCTGCGCTGCCCGTTCAGAAAATCGGATTATCGCCTACGGGGGGACTAATGGCTACCCGAAGCGACAATGCTAATCTGATTACCGGCGTTAATTCGGTTTTAATACGAAGCATGCCCCGAGGCTCACAAAAAATGAACTGTTTTTGTTTAGGTAAAGGCGCCGGTATTTCTTTTCCTTTTTTTATTGTGGCCAACATTGGTTGGAAACCCGAATGCTATAAGACCGGGATTCCATTCGCCGGAAGCTAGAAACGATCTGTCTTCATAGCAGTCTAATAAACTTGCCGCATTTGCGTTGTTTTGGCTTATATAGACCCTTTTCAAAAGTGCACGCCATCTATTGGCTAGTGCGACAAATGTCCGAATCCGCCGTTGTTTGGTACTCTGAGCATCTCTTTGACTCCGAGATTGCGTCCCCGTCATACGTGAGATAAGTCGGTTCTGCTCGTTTCGAGAACGAGTGCTCCTTATCTGAAAGCTCGGATCCCATCGCGGCCTTCGTGCCTGGGAACTAGCGACAGCAGGTGTTGCTTGATCGGGTTTCGAAAAAGATTTTATTAGCGGAATATCTATGTCTGGCGATTTTTTTACCTACCTTATATTTTTGTATCTTATTTTATTGCTTGATATTGCTTTTGAAGAGGGTTTATTGAATGACTACTATCGTCTTACCTCACATATATATTTTATGTATTTTTTTTACATATATTTTTTGCCTCACTCTCTTGCTCGATGGGGTTTTGAAAAGAGTTTATTTACGGTAGGTTTAAAGCACGCGATATTTTTTCACCTCACCCAATATTTTTTTTTCATCTCATTCTATTGTTTTCTTGCACTTCGTCCTTCACGGCGCCCTACTACAAGAACAAAGCCGAAAAAGGGGGGCAG